CAAAAGAAATCTATATTTTACAAAAATTAGAAAAAAAAAACAACCTAGAAACCAGATCTGGATTTTAAAACCAAGGAGCGGTAACCCTGCTCCCGACGGGTCTCGTTCTCATTCTCCAATCTTCTTTGGTATCGCTGGTTTTGAGCGCGATCTTTGAAACTTCGCCGGCCTCGGCCACGATGCATTTTCAGTGAAATTAACTTATCCAATTTCGAAATTCCGTTGCGTGTCGCTCCGGGTTGAATTTTTGCCGAGGCCTAACGAAAATTTCCCGTTTTTGAAAAAAATAATCGTAGTTATTGTGTATCGTCCGAAATTATTTTATTATTTTGTTCAAATAATATATATATTTATGAATAAATGTAAAAATAAAACAAATTATATTTTGGAAGTTAGTTTTAATATAAAAGTATAACGACGCGCCATCTAGTTTCAAAAACGTTTCGATGATGAAAGGAGATATCTCCGGTCAATCGGTAAAGGCCAGCACGTGGCGACCAGAAATATGTGGAGAATAACATGGGACAGGTAAATGGGATTTGTCAAAGATTCGTTTTTCAAAATTCGATTTAACAACATTCGTATTTCCAACTTCCCAACGAACAACGCATGCGCAAATCTCGCACTACTGCCTGTTTGTAGAGAGTGTCGTCATTTTGTATTTTATTTTGACTCTGTTCTTGGTCCCGTGAATACCTACAAGTCTGTTTTTTTTTATGCGCGCATGATTTGTGCACCTAATACTCTGTGCCAAATTGCAACTCCTGACATGTACTCCTTCATACCTCTAAGCTGGTAACACATCAGGCCGTGCGATTTTATAAACAAGACATAGTCTTGTCAAAAATAATACTACACACAGTTACCAGATAATTAAATTACAGTCTAACCCCGTTTATCTGGCTCAAACGTGACCTGGTTCGTTCCGGATTTTAGGACATAAATAACGCAGTTTATAGACTTTTTTTATTTCTGTAACAACCACTTTTCTTCCTTCAGACGTCATTTTCTCGGTATTTGCTTTATTTCACAATTGTTTGAAGATGATTCTTCTCTCTCTCTCTCTGTCTCTCTACGTGCGTCACAAACTCTATATTTACGGCATGGCCATAAACCATTAACGAAAATGGGAGTTGATTGAGGATGCAACTCGTACAAATCTTAAATACTAAAAAATTCTCTTGCCCAAAACTACTGGAGTTTCTTGTGTCTCACTTGATAAAAATTCTAACTCACATGATATCAGATATACAGTATACTTTGAAATTATCATTGCTGTTGCCTGATTGAAAACTTTATTCGATTCAGGTGATTTGGGCTGTGTTTTTTTTTGTACTACTATAAAACTATTCAGTTCTTTTTGTAATATGAAGATTATTTTTCTACAAGATACATCAATTCCAAAATAAAATTTAAAAGTAAAAAATAAAAAATCCAGCGAGAAGTTGCTTAACTTTCCCGGCAACAATTCCTGGCGTCACCAGTTATGATATTTTATTTAAAAACTCTTTATAGTTTTAACTATTATAAAAGGGCAAAAATCTTAATTTTGAAAATACGGGAAAGATTTTATTTTATAAAAAATTAAATTGTAATTGCTAATTACAAGTAAAATCGTCATTAAGTCAGACTCTATTGGAGATACACACGAAACCCTTTATTATTTCAGAAAATTTCGACAAAAAGCTCAACAGTTATTAAGCTTCAAAGAAGGTGAACAAAATCGTGCCCCTACACTTACACACAGAATAACATCCATATATAGAGAAAAATCCCCAGAATTTTTTGCATTTCTCGGTGTTTTAGATCTCGAGTTCAAAAATGTAAAAATCTAGGGGGTCATAACATCCGGAAGTAACATTACACACAAGTAACATTGTAGATGAGAAAGTTATCTAGTATTTTATTTTATTATTTTTTTTCAATTTCAGCTTTAAGCATTTTGAAAATAAATGGCATCAAATAAATAATATCGGCTTTTCTATGCGGGTAATTTAAATATTTCTGCTACAAAAATTTACGATGTTTGTCATTCAAATCTTACTACATGTTTTGAATAACACATAAGTTAGTTTGCGTGTTTATTCGTAAGACGACAAACACGCAAAACTTTATTTAAATTACAGTAATACCCCGAACTTACGCGATAGGTGGGACCGAGCGGTAACCGCGTAAGTCGGGGTATAATTTCGCATATAAATACATACAAATAATTTTTAATTGGGGCCGGAGACTAAAGAAAGCAATAATTTAGAAAAAAATGTTTAATAAAATCTTAGATAATACATATGTATAACAAATTAGGCCTATATTATTTTACAATTTTTCACATTTACTTGATTATTACGCCATAATTTTAACATTGTTTCCATCTCAGCGATAATACTGTGACGTTTACGAATGATGCTTGAATTTAAAGATTGAGCATTTTTCACAGCTTCGAGAATTTTTTCTTTGCCTTTTATAATTGTTCTGACCGACAATTCCGGTAGATCAAACTTCTTTGCCAATTCACAAATTTTCATTTTTGTATCGAAGTCTTTAATAATGGGTACGTTCGTAAAGTCAAACGAGTTAAACGCGTTAGTAACGAATCGTTCGAAAAGTCTAACGAAATAGGAATAACGATGACTTCATTCTCGCTTAACTCGTTCGACTTTACGAACATACCCAATGTTAACTTTACATTCCAAAGATAAAGTTTTTCTTTTCTTGTTTGATGCAGAAGAATTAGTTCTACTTCATTTGGATGACATAGTAGAGTCTCTCGAGTCTCCGTAGATATAACAAACACAGAAATAAATAACACAAAATAAATTGTAGCTATGTGTGGATTCCGCGCGACACATCCGAACATGTAAGCTGAACAATAGTGTGGGGGGAGTGAGTAATCAAGGGTTGCGTGGCGCTCAAACAAAAGACGAATCGACGAGATTTGAAAATCGCGTAACTCCGGGTTCGCGTAAGTCGGGGTAGCGTAAGTCGGGGTATTACTGTACTAGTAACTAGATATTTTGTAGGAAAACTGAGTTCCGTGGAGAATAAAACTAAACCTATATGAAAAAGGTTAAAAAAACTAATCTAAATCTAAAACAAACGAGAAATTATTTTTTATTCTAACATCGGCATAATGCCGAGCTGCATTTTTAAATCATATTTTTAATTTAAAAAATATGCACTCCACCTCGAATTAGTAGCGTTTTCTCCTGTACATCATGCTTTTCCTTTGAGTCCTCCTAGTATAACGGATAGACTAAATATTTGTTGGTCCAAAAATACTTGGTTGCTGCATCCCGAAAATACAGTAAGTATCGCAATAAATATTTTAATTAAGTGTAATAGAATGTTTTATATAAAATGTATTTTTACAGCTTATTTAATTTATTTATCATTACTCATATTGAACCAAATAGATTAACCATAATATATTCATAAAAACAAGCATTAGAATTTGATAGCATATCGATAAAAAATCAAATACTGAAATGACATATTTAAGGAACGACTTCGTTATCAAATATTTCATTATCATTAATCGTTCGTAAATTACTAAACAGTATAAATAATTAATTAAACATGAGAAGAAGAGAATACAGTTGATATAAACCTATAAACACGAAGCATTACATTGAAGTTAGGCAGTAAAAATGTTACTTTGATAAACAATGGTTTAGGGCTTCATTAACTAATAAGATGATATGGAAGACACTTTTTGAGTATATATTTCGATCTAATAGCTTTTAATGTTTATTACTACACAAAATCTTTCGTTCTGAATTTGTAGAGCGAGGTAAGTTTTTAAATTGAAAAATGTTATTGAATCATTTTCTACTCGTTGCTAAAGTATTCTTTGTATTATTTGAAATATTTTTCGAGTAATTGTAACATACTACTATGGAAATTTGTATGGAATCTTATCTTGATAACATTTGTTTCGTTAGGCAATTTGATCCTTTTCTTTCTGTATGTGAAATTTTCGGATTGAACTTTATAGAACCTTGCAAATGCAGAAAGAGTAAAATATCTGCCCCTCTTTTCTCCACGTACGAAAGAATAATTGAAATATATGCATGGGTCGTTGTAATATTTATTTCCATCATTTTCGTGGTCGATATTCCATGCGCTAGAATATTTAATGTGTTCGAAGAGCATGCTTTTTACTCTAAACTCTTGCCGTTAACTTGTTCTTTGTACGTTGCCTTGCAATTCAGTATTGTGAAAAGAAAAAAGTTTAATGTCCATAATTCCATACTCAAAAGTAGGTATGAAGGTGACGAAAAATGCCTTGATAAAGCTCAACCATATGTACTGATTTTCTTTTCGTACACAGTCGTTCTACCCGCTTTGTTTGCCGTTTTAATACCATTGATTGGTTATCCACATGTTAATATTGGAAATAAATACAAAATTAGAGCCATTACATGTTTGGTCGGTATCCAAATTTGGTTTATGGTAATATTTATTCATTTGTCCTCTATGCTTACTATAAGCACGCTCACTGCATTAGTCGCATCGAACAGATTATCTAAAATCTCCTCAGAATTACAAATAGTAAATAATGCGACAAAATATTATCTCCAAAATCTAATTGAAAAATTTATGGAACTATGGGAATTTTTTCAACAAGTAAACGAAAAATGGGAGCTTCTTTTGCCTCTCATTTACATACATTTTGTATACGAAACCTGCTTTATTTGGTACGGAGTCCTTTTTGCTAAGACGAACCTTATCGTTCGCCTATTTATGGCTATAATTGCGTTACAATTATTAAGTTTAAGCCTATTAGTCTGCTGGGGATTGTCGACTTTAACATCGATCGTAAGTAAAAATTAACGTATACCATCTCGTGATTTATTTTTATTTATGAAAATGTAATAATATTGTTCCAGATATACGACAATTTCATCTCTGTCGAAAAATATTTCTCTGCTCCTCTGACCTTAACATACAAGTTAAAGGTATAATATATTTCTCNGTATACCATCTCGTGATTTATTTTTATTTATGAAAATGTAATAATATTGTTCCAGATATACGACAATTTCATCTCTGTCGAAAAATATTTCTCTGCTCCTCTGACCTTAACATACAAGTTAAAGGTATAATATATTTCTCTTATAATATAATGCAATTTTTATTTTTATTGATATTTTAATTAACATTTTTGATGTTAGATCGTTTGCTTTATGAAGATATTTGGAGGATTGCCCATTGGAATATCCATTGGAGGATTTTTCATCGTGAAAAGGAACTTCTTGATTCGGGTAAGATCACAGTTGTCTAGGCAAATCTAGCTTTTTGCTTTTTGTTTAAAATACCATAAAAATAAATGTTATCATAACTTAACAGTAAAAAAATTTAGAATAAAATATTTCTTTATACTGTTTACAGGCAGCCAATGGTATTTATTCGGTCTTCTCGACTTTAGTTGAAGTAACAGGAGTACTGGACAAAAATAGATGCACTTCAAAACTGTATGCATCTACACGTAGCAACGACACAATTCTGTAGAAAGATTTAGTTATGTTTCATTGCAGATTGGATCAAATATATACGAAGTATATTCGTGCACCCAATGTAAACAAAACAAATTTTATTTTTTGTAACCACCGAAAAGGAGTTTATAAACGAATAAACAAGTTTGTTATGCCTTTTTTTTATTTTTAATTGTCTACTTGGAGTAGTTACTGAAAAGTTACTACAGTATTACAGGTAATTTAATAAAGAAAATTTGTTTTTTTCTGAACTAACTCTCATTGTTGTGCCAGTTTTTAAACACTAGTGTAAAGTCCTATTAATGAGTAATGCCCAAGTAGACAATTAATTAAAAATAAATTAAAAATAAGGACTGTAAGGCAATTATAATTAATGAAGTTTGTTATGTCCTTCTAATCCGACATTCACCAGAGGTCAACTACACTCATAAAGACAATTCACAGAACTTATATTTGTATGCATTTAGGGTCGGAGTTTTCACCGGTCCCTCTTCAATCTACAGACAATTAAAATTATTTTGTAATTTACACTTTATAAAGCATGTAAAATTAAAAAAATGATCCTGGTTTGGGGGCTCCGCTGTAGGATGTAAAGCGATAATCGGCGCTCAATGGATTAATAAATAAATATGAAGATCCCGACAAACTTTTACATTCAAAATGGTGTGCGATGTTTAATATTATATGATTGGCAGAATTTAGATCACGTGTCGTAGACGAAAACATGATTTCGATTCGCTACGTGTGACATTTTTTGATGCTTATTCTTTATATATATTTTGTTACTAATGTAAGCAGCTAAATATTCTGCTGGGCAAATGTGCTGCACTGCCCTAAGACGTCATCAATTGTATGAATTTAAATACTTATTCTTATGTAGTAAAATCGTTTTAAACTTTTACTTTTTATCCGCGACTATAATACTACGTGTTTAATATTCCAAAAATACTTGATTATAATATCTAGACAATGCATGAAATATACATAAGAAAACTGAATATTATAATTTGATAGCGTATCGATTGAAAAATTAAATATTGACATGACTTAATCAAGGAACGACTTCAGTATCAAAAATTTCATTATCATTTATCGTTCGTAAATTATTAAACAGTATAAATAATTAATTAAACATGAGAAGAGGAGAATACAGTTGATATAAACCTATAAACACGAAGCATTACATTGAAGTTAGGCAGTAAAAATGTTACCTGTTTAGACAATATTTTTCTGTTTGCGAGTTTATTTATTATGACAAACTGTACACGATAATATGGAAGACACTTTTGCGTATCCCTTTCGATTTCATAGTACATTACACATTGGCAGATGATCGCGCAGTACACCAGAAAAATCCTCAAAAATTATTTAACTTTAATTATAAATTAGCTTTAGTCCAGAAATAAAATGTGCAGATGTAATACTGTATTTAAACTGACACACATAATCAATTAATATAAAGTTAAAAAGTTTTATTAAGTAAAAGTTTATATACACATTTAATTGTTCAACACAATTATAATTCTGGCTTAAACATATGCTTACTGCAACTTTTTTCTTTAGTTTTTATTTTGGTCCAACATCGAGACGATACCTCTCCAGTGTTGACACATGCATATTATAGGCGAAAATCCATTATTTTCCGGTCAGAATTTCATCCTCAGTTGAGAGGTTTCAAACGACCGAAGACGGTGGTAAATTGTCACCGTTGACTTTAATTAACTGAAGTGGAAGAACACAGTAAGCGATGACAAAGGACATGATCATTCCAAAAATCGTCAGCAGGAAAGGGAAGACGCCATACCGCCATCGAAATCGAATAAATGAAGTCGCATCCGGTTCATTAGGTCACAGCCAGGTAAAAGTCCAAATCCAGGTAAAAAATGTCACATCCGGGAAAAAAGTCACATCCGGTGAGAAGACCTTGATGATTTATTTCTTCCAGAAGAAGAACTTCTTCCACCAAGGCTTCTTTTTCCTCTGTTTCAGGATCGATTTACACTCCTCTTGCAGTCGTTGCTCGCGTGCCTGTCTCTGCACCGACCATTCCGGAACTTCTGGATATCTGTTCCAGGTAATCGATGACAGACGACGTGCTCTCATCGGGAATGGTGACAATCACCCGTTTCTTGTCGGGTTGACCAGATTTCTCCTTCGCACCACCCTCCAGCACTTCTTTCGGACGCACGCGAATCACTCGAATCGAAGAGGAAGACGTTTCTGATGTCGAAGAGCTATCCTCTGCACTTTCTCCTCCAGAGGTATTCCATTTCTTCAACGCTTTGAAATTATCCATTCTGCAAGCAATAAAGAAACGAGAGTTAAATTAAGACAATATTAAAAAGTGAAATGAAAATGTAATAATATATGTAGGATAGAAAATTATATAAAAAGTTCGTTTTAATTATATGAAACATNTATAATGCAGTGTTAAAATTTATCGTCTTAACATGAACTTGGAGCTACCATGTACAGTAAACAACACAATTTATCCTAATTATGATAATAAAAGTTGTATGGTTTATAAAAGTTTTGCTATTCTGTTGATTGTCATTAAAATTAATGAAAATATTCTAGAAGAAATCAAGAGAAAACAAAATGACGAATAAATTCATTTATTCTAATTCATTAATGTTTAGATTAATTATAGCAGTGCAAATGTCATTTGGGATACAATGTGTATGTACAGTATATGTAATATACACATACAAAATTATTTTGGGAAATTTATTACTTGAAATTATTTTGAGTTTACTTTAACAATTCGATTCGATTGACGAAAATTAACAATGAAAAGATTTTTTGATAATCTGAAACCGTGTTGTGACTTTTCTTTGATTCTTAAACACTATGTAGTGTATAAAATTTAAATACTTGGCGTTCTATCATCTTTATTTAGTTCAACTGAACTAAATAAAGATGATAGAATACCAAGTGTTTGAATTTATTACACTACATAGTGTTAAGAATCAAAAATGAAAAGATTGAATGCACTTTCCAAAAATAAGTCAAAAGCTCGATTCTTCTCATTGAAGAAACCACACAACGATTGCTATCGAAATATTCGTTCTGGGAAAATTATCATTGCTAATTGTGATTTTCCACTTAACAATGTTAAAAAATACCTAAATCTAGAAAGATCAGGAACTAAGCTTACCCAAACAATAGCTTCAACTAGAGTAAAACTCAGAAAACACTCGAAACAATTCACTAAATCGCATTCGAACAAAGTAAAAGACAATTGTCGAAATTCTATTGTTGCGTCACGACTCAGTTTGATGTTAAAAATTTCGATTTTTTGACAGAATTTCGGGGTTTCCGCGTCTGTCTTTCTATAGAGACAGATCATTCTGCTTTTTGTCTGTAGTCTTTCACTCATCCGCACAGAGACGAGGTGGAATGAATTTTGTAAGCGTTTGGATGTTCGAAGACTCTCATAAACTGAATATATTTGAGTACTATTCGAATTAAATGGAGCAATGGTAGAGTCTTCTGGAACTGTTGTTTCTATATTGTTGTCGGGCTGCAACTTGAAACAACTGTTGTCCGCCTGTGTGACCTTCCTTAATCTCGAGAACGCAGTTAGATAAATGAAAGTCGAGATTAGTTCTGAAAATATTAGGGGCGGAAGGTCCCGATTAATTATATAGGGGAGACCGGGGCAACTTCGGCATACGGGGCAAGTTTGTCAATTGCATTTTTTTAAAAAACAAATTAAAAGGAGACTCTGGTTATAGGTTAGACCAGTGTTTCTTAACAGGGGGCCGCAGCCCCCTAGGGATCCGTAAGAAGTTTGCCGGGGGGCCGCCAAATTATGCAAAATTTCCTTCAGAATATAATAAAAAGAAAATTGATGTATAACCGAATATCATATTGAAAAGTGAAATAACAAAGATAAAGTTTTTGTATTTAGTTTTTTTATTTATTTCTTATTTCTTCCTACTTACAACTTTGTTAGTACAGTACAGAAGAAATAAATGCAAATATGCTACTTACACCGCAGTATTTACTTCTTTTATTCCAAAGTAATTCTAAGAAACTATTAATGCTTGGAATTTTAAAAATAAAGCAATAATAAAAAAATCAATTTATTATAGATAATTTAACAAATATAAATTATTATTNATCACTCTAGAAGTGACCAATTGTCATACGAGAGAGTTATCTAAACCTCTCACTGCTGGCGATACACGCAGCAGTGAGAGCAGTGTGCCTCTCAACAATGGGTCTGAAAACGGGATCGAAGCGCTTACCAGGACTGCTCCATACTCTAACACGATGATCGTCCGCTACTAAAAAGAATTTGTATTCGTCTCTAAAGAAAAAAACTACGTGCTGCCAGTTCGTAGCAGCCTACATTTCTCTGTCATGGCACTACGTCAAACCAAGACACCATTGTTAGGCTGCTGATGGTACTAGAAAAGACAATGTTTTCGGCTAAGCGTGACGTTTTTCGATGCTTGTTTATATTTTAGATTTTTAGCTTGTTCACGTATGTAGAAGTATGTATTTCTCTGTATCTGACTTGTCTGAAAAGTCAGTTTAAACTTCGAGATTTTATTAATTACTTCTTGCAAAAATTTTAATTAATTAATTACACTGGTCTACAAAATTTTACTTTTTGTGTGCCTTTTAAATAAATGCTATGTTTTTATACTAATTTGGGGTTACTGAATACGAATATACAAATAAAATTTTAAAATTAGCTCTTGGTTTCAAAATATCGCAAATATTAAATACTATGAATTTAAGTAAAATATCAAAGAACCTCAACGGTATTTATTTTAAAAAAACATTAATTTATTTTGTTTTTGTAACTTTTTACATAAAATTGAGAATTAAGAAATAATACCAAAATATTATAACATTTTTTAATCAAGACTTTCTCTTGTTTTTCACTTGTCTTTTGTAGTCACTTTCAGGGATATCTCTTTTCAAATTCCAGCAGTAGTTCGCTAGCATTGACGCATCCCACCGGCCCTGGTATCTTTTTTCCATTGTCGATATGTCTTGGTGGAATCGTTCGCCATGTTCTTCACTTACTTCACCGCAATTGGCAAGAAAAAATTCAAGATGAGAGTGAAGAAGATTAATTTTAAGGGACATATTGCAAACCATCTGCTGATACTTTTGTAGAAGATTGTTTACAAGCTCATCATAATTTTCACATC